TGGAGGAATTTAGGGAAGTCATTTTCAGGGAATGACAAATTCTTCTAAAGAGCTTTTTCAGATTAAAACATCCCATTTCTTCATTCAGTTTATTTTTTGCTCTTATATTCATTGCCTATACTCATCATAATAAAAATTACCATTTATTGAACAAACTAATCTTCCCTAGACATTGTTCTAATTATTTTATATTCAGTGTTTTATTTCATCCTCAAAATAAAATGTAGGGAAAGTTATTATCTGAGAGGATGTGAAATATGTGGACAGGAGCAGAAGCAGAAACAAAAGTAGTATAGCTGAGGAAAGCCCTGCCAGGCTCCCTCTGGTCCTTCTGAATCATGATGATTTTAATGATCACATCTCTTATTTGGAGTATCCATTGCTGCCTGGATGATCTCCTTTCATAGATGTGATTTGCAATGTAGTCTCTCCTTTCATTATATACTTTTTTTTCAATTCATTGAGCTTGACTTATATTTTGTCTGTAATCAGAGTTTCTCAAATGGAGACATCACAAGGCTTTCAGAGGTCTCCATGAGAATTTTAATATTTGGTATTTTTATTTTATGTTAATCCAAAAGCTTTTAAAAATTTCACTTATTTGCTAGTTTCCAAAGCAGTGAGTTGGTTCCCTGGCATTCTCTGGTGGTGACCAATGACGTTTTTTCTCCTTGAGTATCATTAACTCACAAATTTATGCATATTTTAAGTGTTTTAATCCATTGTAGTTAACATTTCTATTGATGCTCAAATTATTTCATCTTTGGCTTGAGGGAGACTTCTCAACTTGGCTTCTAAGTTTAAAAGCATGTCTAGACAATTTGGATAAACTACCTTATAAACAAGTATTGCCATTTAATTTCAGTGCCCAAGTTTTATTTGTATTCATATTGGTACATAGTAGTAATACTTCAATTGTTTTAGTCTAGTATCAAATGAACAGAGGTAAAAGGGTAGACCTAATATGTAAACAATAGGTTTATATCAAGTGGAGGTGAAAATATATCATAGCATGTTCTACGATGCTGGTTTTGCAGTATTTCAGATAGGGGAAGGGGGGCGGCAATGGAATCATCACTTGGTATGTGGTGAGGTAGTCACGCTGAACTCTTAGAATCTGCACCACTGGAGTCAGTACCAGTCTTGTGTGGAGATTGATTTAGTTTCAGCAAAAGAGCACCATCCATTATAGTAAATTAAGGTTAAATTGAGTTTTATTAGTGTTGTTTTGTTTTTATTTAATTTCAAGTTTGGTTTGCTTTTGCACCTAGTTAGGAGTTATAATTCTAAAGAGTTTAAAACAATTTTTATGATTTTATATCTTTGCTCTTTATCTCTTTGTTTTTGTGTTTTAGGAGTGATCAAATTGATTTCATACATCATGATTAAAGATTTTGTGCAGTGCCTGTTGTATTATTGCTACTTTAAGTATAGATTTTAATTTTGTTACATATTTAGTTTTGTATCTTAGGTGGAGGACCTGTTTTTGCCATATATTTGTAGGAGTAATTAGAAAAAAACTTTATCTCATTTACCTTTTATATTTCATTTTTTGACCTTTCTGTATCAGCCTGTTCATCTGTTCAATGGCTTATGATATATCTTTTTAGAGTTTTAAAATGAGGTTGCCAAATAGTTTGTCTAATTTTCTATCTTATTTCTGAAATGATTATTTTCCAACATCTGTTATTCCTCCTAGATTTTGGAGATAATGTATAATTTCTCTTGTTCTGCGGTATTTTTCCGTATGTTCCATGGTGGATTTTTGTTGTTGTTGTTAGCAGGGATAGTGTGTGCGTGTGTTCATTTTATTTACCAGCTTTTAGTTACAGCTCAGGATTTGTTAGCAAATAAGCCCACATAAAAAGGAGGCTGGCAAGTTCTGCTTCTGGCATTGGTAGATAAGGTTATTTTGGATTAACTCTCCTACTCAGAACAACTAGAAAGGAGGAAAAAAATGTAAAATATAATATTATGAACCCATCAGAAAATTACCAAGGCAGTGAGGAATTTTGTAGTCAAAATCTGGCAAAAATGGAAGTGCAGAGGATGCGTTCTGAATTTGGGACTCTTCCTCCCTCACGGCAGTAGCTGATTTCAAAAGAGGTGGCTTATTAGCAGAGAGGCTAGGATCAGAGCTGTCGATAGACTCAGGAGGCTAGGGAGACTAAAACTGGAGTTCAGGAACCCTCCAGTTTTCAATGAGACCCCAAAGGGTGAAAGCCTAGGAAAAATGGTTGATTGAAAATAAGAGATGTGATAAACTGAAAATAGATCAGTCCTGATGGGGACAGAAGCTCAGCTTTGGATCGTCTCAAGTTCCTAACTGGATGAAGGTGAGTTGGGTCTCCTAGTGACTCTAGCCTGACTTCCTGGTAGAAGCAAAATCAAATCTCTTCTGAAGGAAGATGTCCCATCCAGAGCTTTAAATAATCTCTACAATTTTCCATATATAATGTGTATCACATGATTAAAAAAAATACTCAGGCAGGGCTGGCCCGGTGGTGTAGTGGTTAAGTTTGTGCGCTCCACTTCAGTGGCCCGGGGTTCGCAGGTTTGGATCCCAGGGACAGACCTATGCACCACTCATTAAGCCACGCTGTGGTGGTGTCCCACATACAAAATAGAGGAAGATAGTCACAGATGTTAGCTCAGGGCCAATCTTTCTCACCAAAAAATAAAAAATAAAAACCAACTCAGGCATAAGAAGATACAAGAGGTGACTGAAAACCAAGGGAAAAAACAGACAATATAAACATGTGTGGGACTATAAAATAACTATGATTAACCTGTTAAAGAAATTAAAAGAAAAGATAGAGAATTTTGAGAAAGAATTGGAAACTCTAAAAAAGAACCAAATGAAAATTATAGAAACTGAAAAATATAACTAAAGTAAGCAAATAAACAAATAAATAAAATTTAAAAGACCATCAGTGGATGGATTAAATAGCAGCTAGTATACAGTGGAAGAGGAAATTTATGAATTGAAAGATAAGCCAGCATAAGATATGCAAAAAGAGGACTGGAGGAATGAAAGGATGAACAATACAGAAAAGAGCATTGATGACATATGGGATTTGATAAAAAGATATAACTTAAAGGCAACGAGATTTCCAGATGGAGAGAGAAGAGAGAATGGGGCAGGAACATCGTTTGAAGAGATGATGGCTGAGAATTTACAACACGTGAAAGATACCAAGCTGCAGATTCTATGATCTCTATGGGTCGAAATGAGATAACTACAAATAAAACCGCACGAAGTCATATCATAGTAACATCATTAACAATCAAAATCAAAGAAAAACTCTTAAAAATAGCCAGAGCTAAAAAGGGCAGATTACCTTCAAAAAGAAGCAATAATAAGAAATGACAGCTGACTTTGCTTCCAAAAGAATACTGACATCAGGCTTAGCTTGAAAGATGTGAATAATAAACACAGGAGAAGTTAATAGAGCTGGTTCTGTCACAAACTTGTGTGATCTAAAGTCATTTTACATTTCTAGTCCTTTTCTCATGTTACAGTTTGGGTTTGAGCTTTTTAGCTTTAACATTATTTAATTTTATTCTGAGCCTTTGTCATAGATTACTGATATATATTTTGTGTTCGTTGCGTAAGACCTCTGGTCTACTTGTATGTTAGATGTAGTTTTATTTTACTTACATATAAGTTACTCTCAAGGCAGACCTTAGTTCTCCCGGGTCTCCACTGTATGTTTCACGGGATTGATGGGCTGGGTCCTACAGCTGGTGAGTGCTCAGGCGGGTATCGTACGTGTCCTGATTTAGGAAGCAGGGAACAGAGGGTGTGGAAATATTAGCCTTTTTTTTTTTTTCAGAAGAGTGACAATAGAGGTAGATTCCTGAAATGCCAACTCGACTTCTTTTAATCCAGACTTTGTAAATCTTGATTGTCCGGAAGAACTAAATCCAAACAACCAAAATGAAAAAGGATTTGCTCATTTGTGACTCATATTCTGTGTCATTTGTGCTCTCCCTTCAGCTGAGGCTCCTTTCTTTCTGCTCAGCCCCTTAAGGAAACCGACTTGTTCTCTCCATAAATGATGTTCTACCTTTTAATTCTGGCTGAATTTAGGAAACCCTGTCTTCTCAATTGTTTTGTTTTGACATTCTCTTTAAAGAGTTACAGATGACTTGTTCTATGGATCCATATGTTATTTTTATTAATATTATTTTTTATTCATCCTTGGATAGGATATCTAGCAATTCAGAGTGTGTGGATTTTCCTCAGCTTTTCTCTTTGTTCCCTTGGGTTTTAGTTGAATCCTCTTTTCAGGTCTGTGGCTGTCTACAGCTCTGGCCATTATTCTTAGTATTTAGCATGTTTTTATTTAGTGTAGCTCTTTAGGTCTAAAAACATGTCTTCTTATATCCACTGCTGGCTAACTCCCTAATAATCTGAAGAGAGCCTTTGGACAACTGTAATCCTTAGTACTAACAATCCGCCATCTGACCGCGTAGTTTTCTGAGATTTGAAGTCTTTGAATGAGTGAAAGAGATGTTCTGATACAGACTTGGGCGGGGCACATTGTTTCAATAGCAGCAGTTACTGTGAAAGCTGTTCAGTTTCCTGTTTGTTACAGATCTGGGGTTTCTGAAGGAATGTTTAGAAGGGAGGAAGGCTTTCTCTCTTTTTCTCACGTGTTGGTCTTATTATGTTTCTAATCATGGGTGGCACATCAATTAGTTATTTCAGTCTGGTTCTGTAAGCCCTTAGATAGGGGACATTTCTTCCACATTCTGGTAATAGAAAGATGGAATAGGTAGGGACAGATGCTATTTAAAACCAGATGTTAAAATTGGTTCTTAAAATATTTGTTTACTATTTTTATATTTCCTAACATAACTCAGTTCAAAATTTTCTTGGATATAAATTCTCTTTGGGAACCCAGATATTTCAGAAATAGCTCTTCAAATCTCTGGTCTATTTGTATTTGGAAGTTGTTTAAAGAAAATAAATCTCCCTTCATTATATTCTTTAGTTAAAAGGAAGCTTGGAACAATCAATAGGCCAACTGCGGAGTCAACGTTTATTGAGAAACTCAGGAGGGAGAAGTGTTTCTGTTACAAGTCTGAGTGCAAGTGACCTCGATGGTGGCACTGTGACAGGTAAACTCTTCAGAGGTTCTGAAAATCCTTTTTGTTTTAAAAATATTCCTGAAGTGCATATTAAATACGGTTAATCTTTGGACAAATACATAAAGTCATACAAATAAGGTAAAGGTGTTAGAAGATGCAGTCAAGGATTTTATAGTGAATATTTCAAAATATGCTCAACAGTACTTTCTTATTCTGAGTCTGCTAACTTTTGTTCCTTTTCAGCTCCACAGACCACATAGAGCTTTACCTGACAAAACTTGGGTTTAATTGTTTTCCTTCAGTCAAAACAAACACACAAATAGAATTTAGTATGTGGTATACTTTCTGGATTAGAAGTCTTGTCCTAGCCTCACAGTTTTTCAAATGTCTGATTATGAAATATCCTATGACACTTGTTAAGAACAGGTGAATTTTATCCTTGGTGTGCAGCTGGATTTCAATGCTAGGTCAAAGGTGATAACAGTTTGCCTTTAATTATTCTTATATTTTTCTTCAGCACTGAGGTTCACGTTTGAATAGAAAAGACTTAGAATAGAAAAGTCTGCAGTGAAGAGAGGTGATTAGATAAACATTAGTAACTCGCATTGTTAATATTGCTATTGATCATGATAATGATTAAAAATTGGACATGACCGGCTATTCTTCTTTATAGTTGTTAGTTTTTATTGATTTTTAAACACTGTTCAGATTTTAGATTAATTTGTTATTTGAAAAAATCTGTTTTATTAGTATTAAGTTATGTTTTAGGGAGTCATAAAAGTTATTTTTATTCAGCAATTTGTTGTTTTTATCTAAGAGAAAATATTATATTGCTGCTTTGAAAAGTATAGTAAATTAGAACTTTTGACATGTTCTATTTACAGGTTATTTCTTTTGTTTATTTTATCTGTTTTAAGAGCAAAAGTAGTGCCAATTTTGTGGAATTTTACGGCCATAGCAAAATACTTGGGAAATATTCTGGGTTAAGGGAACATGTATATATCCACGTCTGCTATGTATTTACCGTGTAAAATTTTAAATTCTGACGCAGTGTTTTTATGCTGTCTCTTTTCTTTTAATTGTAAAGAGAGCCACCGATTTCCACCTACCTCACCTCTCAAGAACTATGGGGATCAACAGGGTATTAAACGAATTAGGTCCAGAAGTGGTGTCCGATTTGTTCGGGAGACTGATGACGTGGGCCAGGTACTTTGTACCATTCTGTAATCTATATTCCTTACATTTCTATATAAATGACTAACACTTGAATTTTATGGCTATATTTTTACCAAGAGTTTGACCATCAGTAACTTTGTACTGATTTTTTTTTTTAACCCAGTAAACTATTTTATGTTCAGTGTGCTTATCATCTTCATACATTTATTTTGAATTTTGTTATGGAGGATTATATTTTGTAGAACATTTAAAAGTGAGTTTAGTTGGATATGTTTTCTTTTTCAGGTAGTTCACTCTTCTGTAAGCTTTGCTAAGTCAGCTACTTTCTCTTTTGCTAAGTTTAGTATGAACAAGTTAGTCCTTGTGTGGTTAACGTATTGATTTTTCCCTTAGTGTTTTTCTGATTGTTGAATCATTGATGGAGCCACTTTCTATTAAGCAAGAATTCCATACTTTTTCTCTGTATTCACTAAAGATTTTGGAAATTTTAGTGCTATGGACATATTTCTTTTTCTGCTTCTTTAAACTTCTCCATAAGAGCTGAAAAACAATTTTTTTTTGTTGCCTTGGATAGCTAAATTAGTTAGATAAGGGCTAGGGGATGTTGCTGACTTTGACATCTTTATTTTGGTAGTTTTAGGATTGAGAGCTCAAAAGTTTGTTAGGATACTCATCTGTAGCTTTCACCTGCTACAGTGTAAGATAAAGATATAACAGATCCAAGTGCATTAGAAGACACCTCGTAGAAACTTTTCCTTGACTGTTGTTTTTTGGTAGGTGCAACTTGCTAGCATGGATTATATGATTAAACCTAGGGCAGAGAACAATATGCTATCATTACTCATTTACTCTTTCATTCTGTTTATTTAATGCCTTTGTCCTGGGACAGTGCTTGTGTTTGGAAACAGTAATAAGCAAAAACCTTGCCTTTTCATGGAACATAAGCTAGAGAAGGAGTTAGATGGTAATCACATAAGTACGTAAATACACCCATAATTATGAGCTGAGGCGCATGCTATACCAGAAAGAAGCATAGGGCTGTGGGAGTGTGTGTAGTAGAGGGACCTACCTAAGCCGGGGAAGGCTTCCTGGAGAAAGACCGATCAAGCTGAGATCCAAAAGTTGAGTAAGAGTCATTCAAGATAGAACCAATACCTTGGCAGGAAGGAAGATAGCACCTATGAGTCATTTAAAGAAGGCCATATGGCTAAAGAAATATGAGGCGCTGACACCATGCACAACCTTGTAAGGGGGTGACAATTATTTTGAAAAGATCACGCTGGCTCTACTGTAAAAAATGGAGTCAATGTTAGGAAACCAGTTCCCATATTGCTCTGTTCTGGGTGTGAGATATGGTCACTTGGATTAGGATAAATGGAGTTGGAGAGAAGGAGGGTGGATTTAAAAGCTATTTGGTGGATACAGTGAAAGATCTTGAAGATCAGATGACCATTTGGGAGGGTGAGAATGAGTGAAAAGGAGGCGTCAAAGATGAGGCCTACGATTTTGGTTTGCAAAACTGGAAAAAATCATGATGGCAAAACCTGAGTGAGTGGTCTGTTGTTCATTCACTATATTACCTCCATTTCTTTCTTTTTAGTTCTTCTTCCTTATTTTAAGTCCATTTTCTTAATATGGCCTTTAGCTTCACATGAGACTATGTACTTTTTTAATGCCCCAGTGCAGTTTGTATGGTTTTGTTTCCATATCTGTCTGCCATGTTAAATTGCGAGCCATTTATTTCCTAGCACAGTTGTCGGCACTGATTAGTTGCTCAGTGTGCATTTGTTGAAACGAATCCATTTATTGTTTCTGCAAAAGTCTGTATAACTTAAATTTTTTATTATAAATTATAGCATACACATACATATAGAGCACACAAATTTACAATTAAAAGTACAATAATATAAATGAAAATCCATGTAACCACTGCCCAGGCCAAGAAATAGAGCATTATTATACCCTCAAAGCCTCTTTTATGCTCCTTCTTTCCCCAAGGGCTATCAACTATCTGGATTTTATATTCCTCATTTTCTAGCTTTTTTTGTTGTTGTTGTTGGTGGTGAGGAAGATTGGCCCTGAGCTAATACCTGTTGCCAATCCTCCTCTTTTTGCTTCAGGAAGATTGGTCCTGGGCTAACATCTGTGCCAATCTTCCCCTATTTTGTATGTGGGTTACTGCCACAGCGTTGCTTGATAAGCGGTGTAGGTCCGCAGCCGGGATCTAAACCCAGGGCTGCCCAAGTGAAGTGCGCTGAACCCAACCATTATGCCACTGGGCCAGGCCCATAGCTTGTTTGTAAAAAAATCATTTTTACTACTTACATCCAGTTTCGTATTGCCTGCTTTTAAACTTTGGATAAATGGAGTAGTACTATATGTCTTCTTTTGTAACTTGCTGTTTTCATTTGATGTTATGTTTTTGACATTCAGCCTTACTTATGTGTAGGGAGGTTTGATCATTTCATTTTCGCTGCTGTATGGAATCCAGTAGAGGAATATATTGCAATTTACTTATCTCCATTCATTCTTAATGGACTTTTGGTTTGTTTTCAGTGTTCTCATTATGAACAATGCTGCTCCAAACATTCTTGTACATGGTTCCTGGTGCATATAGGCAAGAGTTTCTCTGCAGCATGGGTTGGCATGCTGTGGCGTGTGGTCTAGTTGAATCAAGTTCTATTGTAACACAGCCATGCTCTTTTGTTTATAACTACTTGTGTGATATAATGGCAGGGTTGAGTAATTGTTGCAGAGGCTGTATAGCCTGAAAGCCTGAAATATTTGCTATTGTACCCTTTACAGAAAAGGTTTGCTGACCCCTTTTCTGGGATATCTATAAGGAGGGAATTACTGTACTATAGAGGATGTGATAGGTAATGTTATATATAGCTTTTAGAAATTGCTTTTCTTTGGAAAAAGTATTTTATTTCTTTCAGAATAGACATTTATTTTATTCTGTCTTAGTAACGTTATAAAATTTGAGCGTTATTGCAAAGAACAAGTCTTTATTCTGACCTTCAGTGAATCTTCATGGAAGAATTCAGCAGAATCCTAAATGGAGAATTATTTTGCCTTTTCTAGCTTCATGCTTTTCATCAGTCCCTCCGAGACCTCAGCAGTGAACAAGTTCGCCTTGGAGATGATTTCAACCGGGAACTTGCCAGAAGAAGCCGGTAAAAGCAGAATATGGTTTTTGTTGGAAGCAGGAATTATTAGAATAATAAAATAGGTTCTGTAATTGACATGTTTACATGAATTTAAAAAGTAGTGCTGTGTTTTTATACCAGTATTTTAAAATTTATTAATAGAACAGTTGAAAACCCTTTGAATTTGGAACGTATCATGACTCAATGTTAGGAAAATTAATTTCATATTCTTAAAAACATTTTAACTTATTATAATGGAACGCTGACATTATGGAGAGACACATTGTGAGACCTTAGCAAAAAGGTAGATTAGCAAATACATTGGAGAGGGAGAGACAGAGACCAACTGACCAACAATGGAGCTTTAAAAAAAAAGGTGTGATGTGAGATTTGTCAGTGGACATGAACCATTGTGGAATCTGATATTTTAGCTTTCACTTGAAATCTTGGAAAGCCAGTGGTTTATATCTGCCCAATCTTTGCAATTTTGCCAATTCTGGGTAGTCCCCAAGAAGTATCACTTTGTTTAAAATTTCTTCACTGTCTTTTCATTTTCATCATCAGCAGTGACAGTTGACTTTCATTTGGAGGCCATATTTTTACAAGAAACAAAGATTTTTATTTCTTCCTCAGAGTCACAATCTATATACACCAATGAATAGGGAACAAGAAAGCTGAATTAAAATTCATTTGTCAAGTTTCCTTGTTCACTCCCACTTCAGCTAATGAAATCATTCCAGATACCAAATTTTGTGTTGCTATAGCAAAAAGAGTCAGAGTTATAAATGTTATATCTATGAATATCAACTGTAGTCTGCATAACTTATCTGCTTTTTTATGAGGAAGGCAGAAAATTTAGTAATAAGAATTAAAGACCTTACTATTACTACTACTAGTTAGTATTATTGAACACTTATTCCAGTTAGATTTAGGTGTTATTATTGCAGCACCCTAATGAGGTAGTCATTTTTAGTTTTTCCATTTTTTTGGATGTGGAAATGGGCACAGAGAGATGAAGTAACTCAGCTTGCTGGAGATCAAACAGGGGGATGTGGTAGAGTCAGAATTCAAATCTAGACAGTGAGGTCCCAGAGTGTCTCCTCTTTACCACTTATAGGATGCTGTGGTTCAAGATCATTTCACATATAGCCAATATGAATAAAGCATTTAAATTCCTGAATTTTGAGCTACACTATAGAGCTATATTATTAATCTTTTAAACTAGTAAGGGTTAATTTAGTATTTCGATATTTATTTTTGACGTATTCATAAAATCAACAGAATGGCATCAACATTCTAATATAGTGTGTTCTTGGAGTGGCTTTCTTATGTAGCTTTTACACATTTGGAGGAAGGGTACAAATTAAGCACTAGGAACGTGAGTTTCAGGAAATCGTTATCCTGTAAGAAGATACAGGGGAAGTTGCAGGGATGATCTGGTTGATTAGTTTAAATGGTCGTTTGGATGTGTGATGGTGGACTGGGAATCTTCTGACCCACTGGCTGGTACCATCCAGTAATAGTTTGTGTGACTGAGAGGCATGTGTGAAGCAGAGAAACTTTATTTAACCCAAAATAGGAGTCAAGTTTCTTGTGAAACTTGGTGGCTTAACTTTGTGAATGAGGAAGATTTTAGTATCCAGTTCTGCTTTACTTGTACCACAAATTCTTAATTCACGTTTGTAAAAATACTGAGTAGGAAGTTGCTAGGTTTAGCTTTCTATGTGATTCAGAAAGGTTCATATTCTCATTTAATTACTAATTTTTTTATTTTTCTTGACTTTTATTGCAAAAGGTACATTGAATAATAAAAGTACACTGGAAAGCAAGCTTTTAGAAAGGATTAAATAAAGTTTAATTCAGACCTCACCTATTTTGGATGCCATATGAAAAACTGATTTGATGAGGGCGAGTTAGAAGACTGTTGCATTAGCACGTGAGAGGTGATGGCTTGACCAGGGTTAGGGCAAGGGAGAGATGGACAAGAATGTGTTTCAAGATTTTTTTTTGGTGGTTGAAGAGATAGGATTTGGTAGTAGATTGGATATGGGGAGTTAGGGAGAATAAACCAAGGATGACTCCCAGATTTCTGACTTGAGTAACTGGGTAGATGGTAATCCCACTTCCTGACATATGGAAGACTGGTAGGGTTATGTGAGCTGTAGAAATTAAGAGTTTGGACTTGGATATGTTAGGTTTGAGATGCCTGTGAAACATCCAAATGTAAAATGTGCAGCTAGATATTTACTCTGGAGCTCAAAGGAAAAGTCTCTGTTAGAGATATAAATTTAAGAGCGATCAGCTTATAGAAATGGTATTTGGAACCATGGAAATTGATGATATCTAGAGAGAAACTGTAGGGAGAACATGAAGAACAGGGCTGAGTGCCAAATAGCTGCAATATTTAGAAGTCTTATATACAAAGAGGAGCTGGCTTGAGAAGGAACAGCTAGTGAGATACAGGAAATCCAGCAGTGCATGGAACCACAAAAGCCAAGAAAGAGGTACAAGTAAAGACATTTTCAGAGATTTAAAGGCTTAGAAAATTTACCTTTTAGGGTAGCTTCTTTCTGAGAAAATTACCTAAGGACATATAAGTAAAAGAAGATGGTAACCAAGAAGGAGGAAGATATAGGTTATAAGAAATCATAAAACTAACCCAGAAATTCCCTGAAATTAATCGCCAGAATGATAGCCATATAGCAGGCCGAGGAAGTATTCACTCTAAATTAGAGCAGGAAGTAAGCATCCTTTGAAAAGAATGTAGTCATCAAGAATGCAGTAGATTCTTAACAGATGATTCTGTAAGAAGTGGGAGAAAAATATCCATGATGTGATAAATAAGGCCTGTATAAGGCCAAAAGGTAATGAGAAACTCTAGAAAAACCAAAAACACAGGAAAGTTAATGATACAAGTGTGAAGCTGACTAAAATGGAAGCATGATAGAATGTAAGCAAAAAGCATCCATTCTCTATGATGGAATAATTCATAAGACGTGTAAATATATTATGTAAGTTACACAGGTAACCAATAGAAGTAAAAATAGAAATAAATTTATCCAAAATTGGAGAGGAATATGAGTGAGATAAATATTTCAAAACAGAGACAGTTGAAAATGTCTAGAGTTGAAAATGATGGAGGTAACCAGCAGAAGAATTAAGAATGGAAATGGTTGAGCATGGTTGCCGGTGGGGAGTGGAACCAGCGGTAAGAAAGTATGAGAGAGGAAGGGCTTTGCTTTTCTTTATAAGTTTTTCTGTACTATTTGATTATTTATCATGTATGTTATTAATTTGATGGGAAAAAAGGTAATGGGAGATAAGTTAGTGAGGACAGAATTTGTACAGCACACTCTGATGTAATTTAATTATGAGTTGCTAGAGAGGATGTGACATCAAGAGTTTTGTCCTCCCTCTCTCCCTCTCATCTTTTCTTCTTAATTTAAAATGGGGGATATTGCAGCCTGTTTGTTTACTGAAGGTGATGTTCTAGTATAGCATTGGTTCTCAGAGTATAATCCCCAGATCAGCAGCGTCAGCGTCACCTAGGAATTTGTAGAAATGCACATTCTAGGGCTCCATCACAGATCTACTGATTCAGCAGTCTGTGTTTTTAAGAAGCCCTCCAGGTATTTCATACATTTGCTAAGAGCCACTGCAGTAGAGTATTCTGTAATAACATTATTATGTTATAAATTCCACTAATTATGTATATTTTCTCAAATAGCCAACTTAAAATATTTTTCTTTGTTTGCCTAGGTCGGATGCTGAAACAAAAAGGGCTTTGGAAGAACTGACTGAAAAAGTTAATGAAACCAAAAAACAGGAAGTGGTGAGAACTCTTTGCTTATAAAAAGTTTTATTTCATACACAGATGGTAGAGAGGGTAGCTGGGCTTGTTGTAATCTCAGTGAAGTTCAGTAGATCTTAACTTTTTGGGTGGTACATGCCATTTTGTCTAAAAATATGTTTTTGCATCTCTTATAAAATGTTCATGAATTTTAAGTATTTAAGTTTGAAATATTTGCAGTGGTAGTATATTAGAGATAGAATTTTTCTTTGTTTTAATTTTTAGAGTTTTATTATGAATATTTGAAAGATAATTTAAATTTTATTGACTCAGTGATTCTATGGCTTTTGTAAAAAGATATTTGAGAAATGTAGAATTTTTTGGTAGTGACTCTGTAGCGTTTGCCATTAAGTATTTTCAGGTCATCTCACATAAGTGTGTAATCACAGTTGCTACAAAGACCTCCTTGCTGTCTGTTTTTGTTTGACATGGTTGCCAATTGGAAATATCCCTAATTCTTGAGTTTTATTATCTCAAACTCAGATTGTTGACTTTTGTTATTCAGTGATTTCTTTTTATCAAATTACTGTCATTGGTGGAATTATGGTAAAAAATGTAGTACATACCCTGTTCATTTCTTTGCATCATCAAATTTTTTTTAGGGGAAAAATATCAATAGAAGTTGTCACTAAACTGTTGCAGATTTATCCATTTCAGGAGCAATGTGTATTCATTCATTTTCCACAATACCTTTTGCTTTTTCAAGACAAGGAATGGCAGCAGAATTTTTTTTTTCTTACCATGTTTTATTCAAACTGAAAGTTTCCTAATCAAAGCAGATAATTTTTCTCCGGTTGTTGTTGTGTTTATAATTCCCTACATAGATACGTTGAGTTTATTTTGGAGTTTGAATTTATTGGCCGTGTATAGTAAGAGATGGATTTACCCTGTTTTCAAAGAGATCAACTTAGTTACTGCTCTTCTTGCAGTGAAATTTGCCCATTTCAAAAATATGAATAAGCACCTGGCTACATAAAAGCACCTCCCTCATGTGTTTTTGGTGCTAATTTCTTTGTGAAGTGCCTCAGAGAGGTGAAGATATAATGCCTATCTTCTATTGAGGTAGACAAAATCTTTGCAGTTAGTGTGTGTATAATGTCACATCTAATATGTGATCGGGATATGGGATACTTCTTTTTTTTTATGTAAAGTCCTAGAATTTTCCAGGCGTACCAAGGGCACCTTCAGTTTAAATTGTACCAGTCTAAAATATTGTATACTTCAAAAAAAGTTTTTTTCTGAGAATAACAGATTGATGCCTTTCTTAGTTAATTGCAGTGGTTCACATGGCAAGAAATCTATGCTATTGTCTATTTACATGCTATCTAAACAGGAGCTGAAGGTACACTTTTGAGAATGTACCTCCAAGGTCCTCTATAACTTACTAAATGATATTCTGGCTCTTCTCATCTACATGATCTTCTGGCTCTGTCTCAAGTGACAAGGGAACCTGCTGAAGCTTTGTCTTTTTTTTGTTTTTTCTTATTTTTAATTTTAAAACTTTGGTGGTATAATGAACGTATAGAGAAGTACATATATTAGTGTATAGCTCGATGAATTATTACAAGGTGAACACGCTCATGTAATCACCACCCAGGTCTAGAAGTAGAACATTTCCAGTGCACAAGAAGCCTCTGAATTCCCCTTCTAGTCACTAATTTTTCTTTCCTTTTTGAAGATGGCCACTATTTTGACTTTTAACCCTATAGATTAATTTTGCCTTTTCTGAACTTTTTATATGAATGAGGTCATATAGGGCATGCTTTTTCGTGTCTGACTTCTTTTGCTAATCATGATTTTTCTGGGTGTTGTGTCATGTACTTGCAGTTTATCCATTTTTATTGCTCTTTAGTATTCCATTGTAAGGATATACTGCAATATAGTTTAACATTTTATGATGGATATTTGAATTTTTTCAAATTTGGGGCTATTATCAATAACGCTGCTGTGATTAATCTTATTTATCATTTTAGTGCACATGTGCGTGCATTTCTATTGGTATATAACATGGAGTGCAGTTGCTAGATGCCTTCAAATTTAGTAGATACTGATAAACAGGTTTCCAAAGTGATTGCAGTAAATTACACTCCCACTAGCAGGGTATGAGAAATCGTGTTGCTTTTCATCTTTTCCAACAGTTGGTATTATCATTCTTTCAGTGGTAGCCATTATGTTAGGCGTTTATGGTGTCTCATCATAGTTTTAATTTGCATTTTCATGATTATGGATGATGATGAGCATCTTTTTATGTTTGTTGGCTATTGGCTATTTTCTTTTTTGAAATGCCAGCATGCTTCTTTTGCCCACTTTTTTATTGGGTTGCTTGTCTTTTTGTTATTGATTTATGGGAGGTCTTTATATTTTGTATATGAGCACTTCATCAGTTATATGTATTGCAAATATTGTTGCCCATTCTACAGCTGTTTCTTCTCTTTTTCAAAACTCTCTTAATGGGGTCTTCTGTTGAAATTTAGTCCAATTCAGTTTTCCATATTTTCTTTTGTGGTTAGTGCTTTCTTAACCTGTTTAAGAAATTGTTCACTATCTTGAGATCATGAAAATATTCTCTTATGTAATCTTCTAGAAGCTTATTGTTTTTCCTTTCACACTAAGATCTCATATTTACTTGCAATTGATATTCGTGTATGGTGTGAAGTAGAGGGTCATACATTTTATATGGATATCCTATTGATTCACTTTCATGTATTGAAAGGACCACCCTTTCCCCTACTATACAGTCCTGTCTTGGTCATAAATCAAATGTTCATCTGTGCAGGCATCTGTTTCCGGACTCTCTGTTCGATCCTCTGGTTTATTTGTCTATGCCAGTGCTCATATCATACTGTCTTGATTACTGTTGCTTTATGATAAGCTGTGATATGGTAGAGTAAGTCCTTTCACTTTGTTCTTTGAGCTTGTCTTGTGTATTCTTTCCCCTTTGCATTTCTGTATAAGTTTAGAATCAACATGTGAAATTATTTAAAACCTGCTGGGATCTTGATTGGATAATATCGTTCCTAAGGTCCATTTGGAGAGAATTCAAATCTTTACAATATTGAGTTTTCCAATTTACAAATATAGCAAATCCTTCCAATAATGTTTTCCAGTTTTTTATCCAGAGGTCTTATATCTTGTACATCGTTTATAAGATTTATTCCTTGGATTTGATATTTTTATGCCATTTTGTAGAGTATCATTTAACATTTTTTAAAAATATAACAATCTTTGTCTTTTATTTGGAGGATTTACCCTATTAGATTTAATGTAAATACTGATTTAGTTTGTATAAATCTACCATCTTACAATTTGCTTTCTATTGGTTTCACGTATGTTTCCTTTTTAAAATTTTTCTTGTGTCATTTGGATGTATTAATTTTCATTTTTTATTTTCCATATTTATTAGCTTGGTCATTAAACCTTATTTTGCTATTCTTTTCATGGTTAATGTAGGGATTAAAACATGCATCCTTGCTTTATCAAATCTAATAGAAATTAATACTTCAAGCTCTTCCTAGAAAAATGCAAAGATCTAAGAACACTGTAACTTCATTAAACTCACTCTCCACTTTTATGTTATTATCATCATGTATTTTAATTCTGTATTTAATTGAGCCACTCAAGACATTAATGTTCTTATCATTTTATACAGTAATTGTTCATTTAGATTTACCCTTATATTTACTCTTCTTTGTTGTTCATTCCTTTCTGTGTTCTTCATTCCTTTCTTCATTTCTGAGATTCCACATTTGCCTTAAGAACATATTTTAAAGTTTCCTTTAGAGTAAGTCTGCATATACTTGAAAGAATCCCTTTTAGAATTTCATTTAGACTGGGTCCTTTGGTGACAGATTTTTCTCTGTGTTTGTCTGAAAATGGCTTTATTTCACTTTCTTTGTTGAAAGAGATTTTTACTGAATATAAAATTCTAAATAGGCCATTTTTTCCCATTCTGTACTTTGAAGATGTCATTTTATCATTTTCTGGGTTCCATTGTTTCTGTTGAGATGTCAGCTGTTAGTCTTATTGGTGCTTTTTTTGATGGTAATATATATTTTTCTCTTATTGCTTCTGAGTTTTTCTTCTTAGTCTTCGGTTTTCTATAGTTTTACTATGTTGAACCTAGTTGTTTTGTTCTTTTGATTTCTTGTTTGATGTTTATAATACCATTATTTCTTCAAAAATTACTTTTGCCTCATTTTCTGCCTATTCATTTTGGACTTCAAATTTCAGATAATGTGAAATTTTTCACTCTATCACCTTTGTCTCTTATGTTGATTTTTGTAATTTTTTTTTGCTGAGGAAGATTAGCCCTGAGCTAACATCCGTGCCCGTCTTCCTCCACTTTATATGTGGGTCACCACCTCAGCATGGCTAACGAGTGGTGTAGGTCTGCACCCAGTATCCAAACCCGTGAACCTGAGCCACTGAAGTGGAGCCCACTGAACTTAAGCACTATGCCATGGGGCCAGCCCCCTCATTTCTGTAATTCTTTATTCTTTGTTTTTCCCTTCTTTATTTTGAATATTTTTTTCTGACATTTTATTTAGTTAGTTACTCTTTCTTCTGCTGAGTCAAATCTATTAAATCCACCCACTGATTTTTATTTTCAGTTATTACATATTTCACTTCTAGAATTTTTATTGCATTGTTTTTAACTTTGTAGTTCTTTGCCAAAATCCTTAATCTGTGTATCTGTGTCTCATAACTACATTATCTAGATCTTCTACAGGTCTATTTCTATTTTTGTTATCTCTTATTTTTCTTGGATTTTGATCACATTGTTTTTGCCTACTGCTTATTTTTGATTATATAGTTATTGTTTGATGATAGAAAATATATTTCATTCTCTGCAAAGAACACTTGCGTAGATTATTATTATGTATGAGAGAACATATTTGCTTGTTATTATAGATTAGGGGCTATAGCAGTCATGGATTACTTTATTTGTTGTTGCAATATTTCAATGTTAAACTTCAGTTTCA